ATAAGGTCACTAAAAACCATGAAAGGAGGCTGTCGAGATAGCTCAGTGGGTAAAGGCACTTGCTGCCAAAGTCTGACAACCTGAGTTCAATCCAAGGGATCTACATAGTGAAAGGGAAGAAATGACGCCTACTTTAGTGGGTAAAGGCACTTGCTGCCAAAGTCTGACAACTTGAGTTCAATCCAAGGGATCTACATAGTGAAAGGGAAGAAATGACGCCTACTAGTTGTCCTCTGACCTCTACTGGCATGCCATGACACATATGAGCAACCGCATGCACGTGCACACGCACACACACATACACACACACACAACGCCATAAATTTTTTCATAGTTTCCCATGGGGCAAAAATCACCCACAGTTGAGAATCACTGAGCTACATGACTAAAACCACTGAGCGGAAACACCTTCATGTCGCCCTCACAAACCAAGGAAAGACCCATTCCCTGGGGCCATGAGGTGTCAGAACAAGAACAACCTTCCCTTTCGCACACTCTTCCCCAGGTGTTGAGAAATTGGGACTCCCCAGTTAAGGGTCTCTTCTACCTTTTTTCTTGCTGGATCTGAATGAAACATTAAAAAAAATGTTTATTTTTAACCTACATTAGCTGTGTCTGCCTAATCTTTGGGAAAGGGGAAATCTTGCTTCTAGTTCCATCCTGGAACCAAAACATAGATCATCCACGTACATACAGCTAGTTTACATATGTACATACTCATGTACAGAGACAGACCCAGATGTGTACACAGAAACAAGCAAATAAACCACACACACACATGTTCCACCCTATAACTATAGGTACATAACCCCACACAGGAAGTAAGCACATTCCTAAGGTCACCCATCATTCACATACTAAATGACTGTCATCCAGTTAGCCTCATGGCTGTCACCAGGGCTAGACTCAGGATCAGGTTTATAGTAGTAGACAGCAATGTTTGGTAATGAAAGAATGAAGGTATGGGCCAATCAACAGACCTAGACTGGGTTAACAACTTCCCTGGATTAGCTATTCCCTGGTTTTCCTCTTAAAATTTTATTTATTGATTTGTATTTTATGTGTATGAGTATTTTGCCTGCATGTATGTAAGTGCACCCAGGCATGCAATGCCCATAGAGGTCGTAAGTTGGCATTAGATCCCCTGGAACTGGAGCTAAAGACAGTAGTTAGGTGCCATGTGGGTGCTGGGAACCCAAGTCTTCTGCAAGAGCAGTGTTCTAAACTGCTAAGTCATCTCTTCAGCCCCACTTAAACTTTTTTAATTTATTTTTATTTTATGTATACGAATGTTTTGCCTGCATTTATATATGTGTACCCATGCACACAACCAGGTTTCCCGCTGAACTTAGCAATTAGAGGCAAGGATTCTGGGGTTGTACTGCCTAAGTTCAAATTCTAACTCTACTTATTTTTGTCTTTTATTTTGTTGGGGGTGGGGAAGGTGTGCCATGGTGCACATATAGCGGTCAGAGGACAACTTGCAGGAGTCGGTTTTCTTCTGCCACCATGTAGGTCCTGGGAATCAAACTCAGATCCTCAGGCTTGGCAGCAAGAGCCTTTCCCACTGAGCCATCTCATGGAGCCTTTGACTTTATCTTTCAAAACAATTAGTTTATGTAATTAATATTTATTTATTTATTTTTGAGACAGGGTTTCATTATGCAGCCTTGGCTAGCCTGGAACTCAATGTGTAGACAGATCAGGTTGACCTCAAACTCACAAAGTTCCACTGACTCTGCCTCCCAAATGCTGGGATTAAATTGTGCACCACCTCAGCCTAACTCTGTCTTTTAGTAGCTGAAAAATCTTGTCCCTTTTTGTTTATCTCTTTTACTATTGGGATCACCTTGTTTACTTTTCGGGGCCTAGTTTATTGTTTTCTCCTCATAAGCTTGATTAAGGCAGAAACTTCTGTTTTGTTAATCATTATATACCTCCTTGAGCTTGGGCTACTACTATCTAGTATACAGTAGGTGTTGAATAATGAACAATGAATTAATGGCTACGGGCTCTCTGGCAAGCTGCACTGGAGGAAAGGGGAAGCCTGACTGGGAATAGGCTCTGCTCTGCTGTGTTAGGACAGGTTCCTGATGTCCTACCAGTACCACAGCACTCTAGAGCTACCAACTGCTTCGCCCACGTCCTTTTTACTCAGAATTCACAGCATCCTGGGAATGGGTCAGGTCAAAGATGACTACCTCCAGCATATAACGCCCAGCCACAACTGAGAATTTCTTTGTTCCTAAAGATGGCCTTACTTTCAAGCAAAGTTTGTTGCTAGCCATTCTTTTGCGGTCCATCCAAATCTGGATGCTTGGGTCCCTATGCCCATTGGTGTCCAACTCCATATTTTTCCACACCGGGGTGTCCAGGTTCAGTTCAAGAGGCACATTTGGAGGATTCTTTATCATACGGTGTAGCTGCTGCGCCTCTGAACTTAGAATTCAAAGTCACTCTAGGTTCTCCCTGGTCCATTCTGCCTGGGAGTTTATATCCCTCAAGCACAAATTCCTGGTCCCTCCCCCAACCTTCTTGCTGTTTAGCTTCACTGCTTGGATTTGGCCAGCTTTCTTTGGAATGATCTCAGTCTTGCTAAAATCCTTTCCTGTTTCAAAGACCCAACCCTGACACACTTTCTGAGATTCCTTGTAGTTAGGAAGAAGCCCACGCTCCTGAGTGACTAGCACCTCTGCCTGAATTTTCCTCTAAGGGGTGGGCTTAGGGGCCCAAGGATGGGAAGGGTGCGGGGTCGGGTTCCCTGGCAGGACCGCTCGCTTTCTACTGCTGTGACTCTCTACCCATACCCTCTCTGGGCCTTTGTGCTCGCTCTAAGGAAGGCCCATCGAAGGGTCCTGTGTATCTTAGATGACTCGCTCCACCCTGCGCTTTCCTCTCTCCGTGTTTCTCTGGGCACACTACCAGCAGCTCCGTCGGTTCCAGGCGCGGAAGCCGGGCTGGGGAGGTAGGGTTGCTCTGTCCCGGGCTGGGGGCATTGACCTTGCGGGCGAGCTGGCGTGCCTGGGCGAGCGGGTGGCTCCTGCGACGTGCCACGTAGCGGCCGGCTGGAGACGGCCTGGGTGCGTCGGGAGGACCTCGGGCTGGGATCCCGGAGCGGGTGGCCGGAGGCGGGCAGCCACGCTGGGCGGGGAGCCGGGGCCCGCAGCCCCCGGCCCGCAGCCCCCGGCCCGCAGCCCCCCTGCCTCGAGGCGCCTGGCCGCAGGGGGCCGTCACTCACCGAGCCGCGGTACTTCTCCAGCGACACCAGCTTGCCCCGGATGTTGACCACTTTGAAGCCGTAGAAGTCCTGCTCCATCCGTGCGCAGGCCGCTGCCGCCAGGAGCAGCCACGCCGCCGCCCCGACCGACCCCATGGCTGGCTTCCGAGGTGGCGGCGTGGCGAAGGCAGAGGTGGCGGAGGCCCCGGCGTGGGGGGCGGGAGGAGGCGGCCCGCCGGGCAGGACGCGCCCCCTTCGCGTAGCCTCTCGGATCAGAGGCCCGGCTCTGCGCCTCAGTTTCCCCAGCCGTTCTGCGCAAGCGCCGCCCTCTGCGGGGCAGCCCCGGCTTCTGAGACCCAAACCCTCTCTGAGGTTCGCTCTGCCTCTGGATGCGGCGACTTGGTGGAGAGGGAGAGGAGAAAACCCGAGTGTGAGCTCAGCCCCTAGTTAATGTGGGCCTTAGGAGGCTCGCTCTACAACCAACTCTGGGCCCCAGTTTCTCCCGTGGACTCCACCTAGTCCATGTCGTTTCGGGGTACAGAACCGTAACAGACAAATGGATGGAGAGCACTTTGATAACTGAGTGATGCGTACAAACTTAGGTGAACGACTGGACTGCTGCCTGAAAGTGAGAGGTCGGAGGGGGAAGGGAGGAGCAGAGTCTGCTCCGGGTTGATTTCTAAGAAGCGGATCTGAGCACTACAAGAGGTTTAGGAGAGAGCACCTTTGGGATCATCACCTGCGAAGGGACAAGAGGAAGCAGGTGGCAGAGGGACAAGTGGAGAGCTCATGTAGGCCCAGGGCCAGAGACTCTTGCTAAGACAGCAGGCCTTTATACTGCGGTCTTGTCAGTCACCTGTTGTGGTGTCTGCTGGAAAGAGGTGTAACAGGAATCAAGAATGTCCTGTATCTGAGGAACTTGGCGGTTAAGGGCTTTACGTAGACTGATGGCAGGAGAAAAATCAGGCAAACTGGAGATTCAACATGAATGCCTCTTCTCTGCCAAATTCCACTCTAGGTGCCTTTTGTGCAATAATGAAAAAAGACAACTGTGGTCCTTACTCAGAGGGAGAGAGGGAATTAAATAATCCACAATTAGCTCTAAAGCTACTGTTGTGCAAGTACCACCTAAAATAGCCTGGAGGAATTGGAACTGAACTCTGACAAATGAGTAGAAAATAGGTCAGAGCAGGAAGCATATGCAAAGGTCCTGGCGGGGGAGAGAAATATGGAGCACTGGTAATAAAAAAATATTTTTTTAAAAAAAGGGGCGGGGGGAGCGGCTGGAGAGATAGCTCAGCGGTTAAGAGCACTGATTGCTCTTGCAGAGGACCCGGGGTCAATTCCCAGCACCGACATGGCAGCTATGAACCGTCCTTAACTCCAGTTCCAGGGGAATCTGAAGCCCTCTT